AAGACCTGTGACATAGAATAGAAATTTCAAGAAGTCATTATGGTTTTTCTAATCTGAAGAGAATCCAAGAACTTTTTAACTGTTCGATTACAAGAAATAAATCTATAATAACTTTCTGTAAAATCATTACAAATCTCTTGGTTTATTCCTTATCTCAAAAAGAAGAGGTCCTATGTTTGACGCTTCTTAGTGTATTGTTTTTCTTTACATGAGAACTGTAGCATGGCGACATAAACCAACGCTACATCCTGAACTTTTATATTTAGTACAGTTACAAGAAATATAAGGATACACTATTAATAAAGTGAATGCATCTTTAAGGTCCATATTTTTTTTTCCAGTTCTTTGGGACAATGTAGCGATACCATATGAACAACACCATTTCTATGCATGTCCGTTTTGTTAGGTTATGTTTGACAAACTAATTGATAAGTTAGTTATTAACTGAAAAATTAGTTGTTAGCTGATAATCTAGTCATGGTTGATAAATCTGGTTGATGAACTATATGATAATGTAACTGACCTAAAGTGACATGTTGAAAAGATGGTTTAAGGTTATTAAACCTTAAACTTCTTTTCTATCAAATTTGGGGTGGTAAAGAACATTTCCAACAAATTCAATATAATTTCTCTAAAATAAAAAATTAAAAGTTGAAATTTTTAAAAAGAATTACATTCAACTTAACAGATTCTCTATTTTAAAGATTTCATCATTAATTATATTATTAAAATATTCTATAACTTTAACCCTGGTACACTTTTTAAGTTTTTTTTTATAAAAAATAATATTAATTCAATCTCATCGGTGAGAATGAATAAAAAAACCATTTCTCTTTACCCAGATCAAGTTTTATAGAATTCTAAACTTAGAGTTTGTTTTTCTTAACTTTTTTCTATCTAGAGAAGAATATGGAGAATCTGTTTGAGTTATTATTTTCTCTGTTTTAGAGAATCTACTAAAAACATCTCCAACATGTATGTTATATTTTCTCTATATTTTTTCAAATTTAGGTGCCGTTTACCAAACGCTTACCCGGGCAAGCGCTTACCAAGTCATGTTACCTCACCGGATGAATATGGTAAGGACCAAGAATCTTACCCGGTAAGAACGAGACAAGGACCAAGAGTCTTACGCAGTAAGTGAGAACGATGACTTTTACCATGGTAAGCGTTTACCGGGTAAATTGTTACATCGATTTCGTTTTGGTGGACTAAAATCTTATCTGGTAAGTAAATAGTAGTATTAAATAATATAAGTATTAAAAATTATTGTAAGTTTTAAAACTGTATGGATATAAGAGAAGATGCTTTTTGTATTGTAATAGGGTTTTGGGCTTATGGAGTATAAATTCCATTTTGTTTTTATTATTAACAAATAGCAATCCTTTTTTGTTTATGTTATCTTCTTTTCTCATATCTTGTTTTATTATACTTATCAACCGGAATTTGTTATACTTAAATTCTGTTTTGTCTTAATTATGAATACGACCTTATTATTATTATTGTAAATGAATGATCTGATCTTCTTATAAGTTTAAAGTTGTGAGCTACCAATAACTTTTACCATACTTTTTAATCATTTGTAAGTTATCTTTCAGCTATGAAGTGTTACAGATAGTTGCAAATCTTGTCATGTCTAATTTATATTTTCATGTTACCATCCATATTCTACCTATTTGTTAGTACTCCCCTCCTGTCACTTGTCAGTGACTGTCATTTCCGGTCGTTACGAAGAACGTCTGATAGTTTGGTTCGCTTGTGTCTATATATAGTAGAGTCAAAACAAACATTTCATTACATTTTCACACGACTTGCATCATGCTATGTTTTACGTCTTATCTAAGGTAGATCATAAATTTCAACCTCGTTGCATCCAATTTTGTTTATTAACATGCAATTATAAGTATCTGATTATTATGACTGTTTATCAAACACTTACCTGGTAAGCGCTTACCGGCAGTATACATCACCCTCACTTACCTTATCATGTAACATTCTTCATCATTAAAATGAATTGTTGGTAAGCGTCTTACGTGCTTATCGGATAAGACTCTCGATTCTTGTCCTCTCTTATCAGGTATTAATTGAAACATCAGGGAATTCAATCGTACCTTTTCTTTAAACAAAGAAATACTTTTATCTTTGGAGCAAATTATCGTATTTCTAGATGATAAAAATATTTTACAGAAACATATGAACCAAATCTAAGTTCAAACGTGATTCTCCAATAATTGTTGATAACTAAGGATGTAAATTATGAGATAAAATATTGGACTTGTTTAAGAAAAAAGTTATGTTCTTCTTTTACGAAACAAACAACATACTTTTAAATAGCATATACTTAATTTCAGATAAAACCTACTAATGGAATAATTACGTATTTTAAAACAAATTGATGGCATAAACTGTTTAAGAAAACGGACTGATGGAATCTTAAGTATTCTTAAATGGTAGAAATCGACAATATAGTAATTACGAAACTTTTACAACTTGTATAAACTATTTATTAAGATATTTGGGTAAGCATCATTTATAGACAGAGACATGACTAAAATAACAAAAAAACCTAATGAGTGTTTAAAAAATTTAGAAAATCAAATTGAGTAATCAGTTTCTATTTTTTTTTAATTTATAAAATGTAATTTTTTATTTATAAATTATTATATATATATATATATATATATATATTATAAAAACTTGAAGTATACTTTATTAATTTTCATTTTTCTATGTTAATTTCTATTTGTTAATTTACATATTTTATTAATATATTTGAAAACAATTAAAACACAAATATAATTTCATATTACAATTAAAGAAAATACAAACTTACCCACCATTAATATTTATAAAAGGTAACATAAAATAATAAATAATTAGATGATTAAAAATTAAACTTAGTAATACAAATACTCGTATAAAAAAATTACAATAAAGGAAATTAAAAATCTTTTTTATAATAATTAATACATATATGGTTTATAGATTATAACATAAAATAAAATGGTTAATAAATAATAAATAAAAAATAACAAAAAAATGTATATAAAAATCTGGGTTCTTGTTTAAACACATGAATTCTAATAAAAATATGTGATTACATAATATCGTTTGTCCTCTAATGAATGTATTTATAAGAACTCCAACAAAAACCTTAAGAAGAACCTTTAATATGGATGTTTTTATCAAACTATTTAATAAAATTCACAAAATGTTATTTCTTTTTTTTAAACATTTAATTTCATTGATTTTCATTGGTAGTAAGAATAAAAAATCATTTCCTTTTGTAAGCAATCATTCTTGAAGAGTTCTTCAAACGTTTAGTGGCTGTATGCTTCATGGATTTGGACGGAATTGAAAGAAATTGGAATGGTCAAATCCTTTGACCGAATTCCAAATACAATGTTTGGTTCATGGAATGCAATTGATGGAATCCTTTCAATTCCAATAAAGTTCTTCACTCACAGATTTTACATTCCACGACAATACACTCGGATTTCAATTCCTTCCCAAATCCAAATTCATTCAACGTTGCGTCTACCATCTCATCTAATCTAATTGATCTCCGGTTCGATCTCCATCTGGTACGCTCTCTCTCGTAATTTCTCCATCTATACGAGATCGATAGACAACATATGTAATCAATGAATCAATTCAAGATAACTAGTTATCGATATCGCTAGTCCAATTCCGTTATTCAAAAATTATATAAGGTCATTTGTTGATATTTAATTCTGATTCCAAAGTTGAATTTCGTGAACCAAACAAAAAAAATTCCAACCCGTTAAGAATTTCATTCCAATTTTATGCAACCAAACGCAATCACAAGACATGGTCAAATTTCATTTCATTTCCTCATTGAACTCCATTCTATGAACCAAACGCCCCCTTAGAATTTATCCTCTTTCATATATATTTTTTAATTTTAAAGAATATTTTTATAAAATCTATTAAAATATAAATTCTTAAATGTTATTTTAGATAATATGGTGAAGATATTCCGATAAAAAAATTGTAACATAAAGATGAAAAAAATAATTTACTTAAAAAATATTATGTTCAACAAATGATGAATAAGGGTTTTGTTTGCGATCTGACGGTTTCCCCTTCGATGGAAGACAAAAGACGCCATTTCAACCAAACCAGGTTAGCCACTTCTTCTCTCCTCTTTTGTTGCAATTGTTATCACTTCATAATCCTTGTATTTCCTGCTCATATGATGTTTACTTCATTTATAAACAACAATTCTGCCTTGGATTTCGATTCTGAAGATGCCATTCTTCAAATAGTTCATCTGTTTGTAAATTAACAATGTAGAATCGTATATAGGAAGGGTTAATTGATGAGGGATAACCATTAAAACCTGCAATTGTTCAATGCCGGATTTGAACATTGTTTCTTCACCTAATTGGTAATTAGTACAAGAGATTAGGGGAACCAATTACCAAAAATGGTCATTTTGGATTTTCAAACCAGACAAGTGTCTACTCATTGTTATCTTCTAATGTTTTGCATGTATGAAGTAATGTTTTTGGTTTCTTAATACAAACATATACTTAGTTAATTATGACTAAATTATGTCATTGTTGTACTATGAGTCCAACTAGCTCAACTTTGCTTCTTCAAGGGATTGTCTTCTATTTGAATGTGTGCATATGCAAGTACTTGGTAGGACAATCGGTATTAAGCAACCAGTTAACAACAGGAAATAGAATTCTCTATAAACTGACTTTTAGTACATTAAAGATTGTATAGTAGAATCCAAACTCCTATGGTCAATTAATACCAAGCAGCCAAATTAGGCACAGACTTAACTGGAGCCTAAAACCAACTGAAAAGATATGTTAATGGCTACAGATAGTGAATGCCATAGGGCTAAAAAAGTACAATAAGAGGGTTGGTTTAGGAATCTACTTCACAGTGAATGCATCTTACTTAAAAATCTAGATTCTACTTTGTAGTTGATGTAGAATAAAAGGGTTGCTGCTTAACTTCTTTTTACTTCTTGGCAACGGGTTCAATGGCCTGAGAACATGAACTCACTAGATCGGCTTTCGATGCCAAATACAAGGAACCTAGACCATCTAGGGTGCGAGCAAGAGAAGGAGGTGAAACATGCAGAGAAAGCCTATCCGGGAGATGCATGGGATTGGGAACATTTGCATGAACTCAAGCCATGGTGGGGAAATGGAGACCTAGTGAATGGAAGATAGCACAAACTAGGGGTGCAATGCAATGCGGAGAAGGCATATGTGGTAGCAGTTCCCAATGTGCCCATGCTGATCAACATGATGGTAATGTTTTTGTTTTATAATTTATATTAGCAAATATAAGAAAGAAATTGAGTATTGTGTGAGATTAATTGATTAATCACTACGTATGAAACAGACAGGCAGCATGAATTGAGTGCCCAGTTAATTGTAAGTTACTCTTCCTACACCTTAAAATCCTTATCCTATACTTACCCGTGATGCTACGTTTTCATGATCATACTCTAGTGTACTATCTTTATTTGGAAATATTGAAGTTAAGTTAGGACTTCTCCAGCATAACCATAACCAGTTGTTAGTCTGTTTCTTTCTATTTGCTGTGGTGTCTCGAGGCTGATTTTGGGATGGTTCTAGACCATATTAATACTGTACGGTAGGTTTATTTGAGCCCAATAGGGTTTGGCTTTGGTGCTGAAATGACCGCAAGCAATGGAATACGCACGAACCCACTCAAGATCATAACTAATTACACGAATCACATGATGATTGGATTCATTAACACCTAAATTTAACTACATTAAGAGAGAATAAAACTAAAGAACAATTAATGACACACACTAAACCAAGTGATTAAAGACAAAGAACGAACCATAGATATATCGACTGTTAATCTCAACCGTCCATCTAGTCTAACGCATATATGGTTTCATAAATATATCGATTGTTTCCTGATATAAAGCGTTGATCATAATTAATGAACTCTAATTCTCTTATATAAATATTCAAATCATAATAGATGAATATTCATCATTCCCATAATCTTAATTGATTGGTGCATGTGGTTTGTTACATTTGCAAGTTTGGTATATGATTTCTCCTCTCTATATATGGTAAATCAAATACAAACCCAATAAACGTTACAAACTTACAAACCGTTTTCATGCGTTATTTCACATATGAAACAGTAAATGTGAAACATGTTGTGTTCATACAATATTGTTTCATATGTGAAACATGTACGACTCTTTTATGTGTGGAAAAAAAAATACAAAAATACGTTTATATACGAAACACATACATACACACAAAAGAAAAAAAACATGTAAAACAATATGAATTATAACTTTAAATCAAATTCATTTAATAGTTTGTAACATTTATCGGGTCTGAATTTGATTATTGGTTTTTATATATGTATATATTTGTGTATAGAGGAAGGTTCAAACGAGATTAGGGTCAAAGTAAAAGGACACGATAACACCTATTTTGTATTCGATTTTAGAGTCAAATTACATGTGATTAAGGAACGGGTCAAACCACCTAGGTCGTGGGGCCAAGCATGTATACACCCTTGCTTTGCCTGTGTTTCCTAAACACATGTGATTCGACTCTAAATCAGATGTGAGATAGGTGTTCTCATGTCCTTTTACTTTGACCATGTGTCTGTTTGAACCAACCTTATGTGTGTGTGTGTGTGTATAGGCGAAGGATCGTGTGAGAAGGGAAGTTATGGTAAGAAACATAAGAAAAGATTTGAATCTTTGAGCACTTTTAATCTCATGTCCACCCATGAATTGTGCTTAAGAAAGGAATTGATCTGGTGCATTTCGGTGCACCTCATTAGTGTTGACATTTAATTAGGATTGATCCAAGGATGGATTTCTCTTCTTACGTTTCTCACGATAGCTTCCATTCTCACTGGAACTCAACCCTGTATATATATATATTCATAGGTTTTTGTGAACTCCCAAGCTATGCTTGTTTTAGGAATTCAACAACCTACTTACAAACTAGGTTTGCATTATTACTAAGCTAATTGCTCAAATCCATATGTCAATTCCGAAAGGTTAATCTTTATGTGCATTTTTATAGGCCTTCAAGTGGAAGGCTGAAATATGGGTTTAATGAGAACTATTTTTTAGTTCTGGGGAGATTTTTGTGAAATGAAGGACTCTGTAATTTCGTGATAAATTTGGATGAGTAACCATTCAAAAGCCCAGAACTGCACCTCGACTCGAGGAAGTAACATACAGGAAATGAGAAGTTGGGATTGATTATGTGTCAATCCAAAAGGCCCAAAATCTCAATAGGTTATTCCATCCATATGGTCATGGTTGTAATGTAGGGGGGCAATCGTATACAAACTAGTCCTAAAAGGCTACGTGTTCAAGAGTGTATGCAATTGACAGCTAAGATAAAACAATATTCCTAAAAGATCATTGAACGAGATGGCAAGAAGTTACGTTGCACAATTAGTGAATCAAACAACTAGTTATACAAAGTGACACGTACTATGGTTCTAACACAGCAAAGTTATCAAAAATCTTTTCGATTTTGGAAGAAGGCAATGCATGAACTAAATCCAAAGGCTACAAACTAACTTAAGCTCTTTGGTAATTGGTTAGTTTGACAACATGCTTCCTGATTCCGCTCTTGTTCCTGTGGATCATCGACTACAATCCAGAACGTTCACCAACGGACCATTCCTTGGAAATCCGTCGGTAAAAGTGACATCAATCGCTGAAAGTCTGTTGGTCAAGACTTGGTCGGTAAAGAATTCACTGACGGATTTGGAGGATTACATTTATATTGGAGAATTGCATTAAAAAATGGAAAAAAAAAATTTAAATATCCTTTAGTAATGACTCATGATTATTCATATTTCGTTCTTCAATTTTGTAATTGAGAAATTGTCATCGGTGAATGTATACTTTACCAATGGATCACGGTTCGTTGTGATAACTGTCGGCAAAAACATGTGAAACTTCATTGTGTCAGTAGTCCGTCACAAATCATCGATGGATTCTGGCCTTCAGTACTTCATCGCTGAAAGTACCTAGTCTAGTAGTGCCTGTGGACGTTTATATTTATTTTACATGTTTGTCTTTCGTTTTGTTTTAAGTTGGAATGGTATATAGTTCAATTTGGATTCTTGTACTACGATTATGAGACCAATTGATCGACAGGTGAACAAGTATTTTGTATTGAATATGAAACTTTAGTTACAGAAATAGCTTTGCAAATGGAGATATGGAGTAGAGTGTTTGTTTGTAATTGGAATATGTTAAGACGGCAACCGGCCTCTTATATTCTACCTTAATTCCATTGATGTTTACGCCAAATGTTGTTTCTGTAATAATAAGAAACAAATGAAAAAACCCAACATGATTATGATACCACCGCCTACCCATTGCCTCTTTCTATTCAACGATCAAGATTCATGGATGAATAAGATCTGAAGGTTAGAAATGTGCCAATTGACCAGGTTAGGTTCCAGACTGCAACTGGACAAATATAAGGAACAAAGTTTTAAACAACAGTTTATCCGTTTCCATAGCCTCTTCTATTGTTACTTTTGTGCCATTTCAATCAGGAAATTAACTCTCAATTGTTGAATGATGTTGCATTTCTTGATCATTCTGCAGTTGTTTCTTCTGACCCACGTGAGCTCGCTTTCATTCAATTTTACTAGCTTTCAACCCAACAACCAGATGATCGTGTACCAAGGGGATGCGTTTGCATCGACAGGAATTCAAGTGACCAGGAATCAGCTTGACCAGTCTCTCAAGAACAGCGTGGGCCGAGCTTTGTACCGGGAGCCTGTTCAAATTTGGGACAAAAAAACCCGTAAGCTATCAGATTTCAACACCCATTTTTCCTTCTCAATGAACGCACTTAATGCGACCAAATATGGTGATGGCTTATCTTTCTTCCTTATGCCTTTTGAACCCGAGATTCCTCTCCTTTCATATGGTGGTTTCCTTGGCTTATTTAGTCCGGCTTCGGCTTTCAACTCCTCCAATAATACCGTTGTTGCAGTCGAGTTTGATTCGTTTATGAATACGTGGGATCCTAGTGACAACCATGTTGGGATCAATGTGAATTCGATTGTCTCGGTGGCTAATGTTTCGTGGAATACTAGCATCAAAGACGGAAGGATGGCAAATGCATGGGTGAATTATAATTCTAGTACTTATAACCTAAGTGTGTTTCTATCCTATGAAGAGCAGCCAATTTTTGTTGGGAACTCCAGCCTTTGGTACATGATTGATCTAAGGGAAGTTCTACCCGAATCGGTTCGTATTGGGTTTTCAGCAGGAACAGGGGACTGGATCGAAACACACACCATTTTCTCGTGGACGTTTGATTCCAGTTTGGAGAAAACTCGAGTGAAAAAGAATGTATGGTTTGTGACTGGTTTAGCTGCGGGTTCAGGCGCCTTGAGCCTTGTGGTTGGGTTCTTTTGGTTCTTTTGCTGGAAGAAGCAATACATTTTCCGCAAAAGAGAAGACGTGGCCACAGAATACGACTTCGAAAAGAGCATTGGGCCAAAGCAATACTCGTTTCGTGAACTCAGTAAGGCCACCGATGGGTTCTCGGAGGAACAAAAGCTTGGTGAAGGTGGGTTTGGGGGAGTTTACAAGGGTGTATTGAGTGGTGGAAACTCACCGGTTGCGGTCAAGCGGGTCTCGAGCGGATCAAAGCAAGGGAAGAAAGAGTATTTGTCGGAAGTAAAGATCATCAGTCGATTAAGGCACAGGAACTTGGTGCAACTTGTGGGTTGGTGCCACGAACAAGGCGATTTTCTTCTTGTCTACGAGTATATGCCTAATGGAAGCCTCGATTCTCATCTGTTCTACTCGAAATCGAAGCTAAGTTCATCGGTTAGATACAAAATAGCCATGGGAGTTGCTTCTGCCTTGCTTTACCTCCATGAAGAATGGGAACAATGTGTGGTGCATCGGGATATCAAGTCTAGTAACATAATGTTGGATTCGAGTTACAACGCAAAATTAGGCGATTTTGGACTTGCACGGCTTGTGGACCATGATCTGGGCTCTCAAACCACGGTTCTAGCCGGAACAATGGGTTATTTAGCCCCAGAATGTGTCATGACCGGCAAAGCAAGTCGAGAGTCCGATGTTTACAGTTTCGGGGTTGTTGCACTCGAAATTGCATGTGGACGAAAGCCTATCGACATGAAGGTGGAACCCGGTAAACAAAGGTTGGTAGAATGGGTTTGGAGTCTTTATGGCGAAGGGAAGTTATTTGAAGCCATGGACGCGAGGTTAAACGGAGAATTCGACCACCGCGAAATGGAGTGCTTGATGGTGGTTGGTTTGTGGTGTTGTCATCCCGATAGTGGCAATCGGCCGTCGATAAAACAAGCGATAAGTGTGCTGAATTTTGAAGGGTCATTGCCTAGCCTTCCGGCGAAAGAACCCATACCCATCTATTATGCACCTCCGATGAGTATGTGTAGGTTCACATATACGTCTTCAGTTGGTGCAAGTGAGACGAGTGGGGGGAAAGGGGCCGTGAGTAGTTGTGGGTCGTATTCATCGGCAGGATCCTTGAAAGGACTGTTGGAGACACGGAGCGGTGGCCCGTAACTGTAAGGCATTATTGGTTGGTTGAGTCGACACTGACAGACATGCACATGCTAACGGAAGGTGTATAGTTACGTTTTTGGTTGACTTTTTTAAATTGTAATTTGAATATAAAATGTAGTTACTTTTCTTTTGTTGAAACTGAAATAACGTTCAAGGAAAATTGTTGTAATTTGGGATGTTTCTGTTTCCTTTCTCATTAATTAGATATTACGGGATGTAAATAAATAAAAACAAAGAGGAGATATTTTTTTTTAAAACAAAAATAGGAATAAAATGTGTTATAAATAGAAAACATTTGTCATACTTGTTATGCCTTCAGCATATTCGACGGAGATGTAAAGAAACGCATATTACGTTCAATCTTTTTTTAATTTAAATTTAAATGTTGATTAGACAAGGATGGGAATGGATACCAGCACCAGCAGCTTCGCGATGATCCATTTGGGCGTTTTTATTCTCCTTCCATGTCTCATGGCTACTTCTTCCCATGACCCCACCAGGTATATATATAATGAAATTGTTTCATTTGAATCTTTAAAATGAATATAATGAAAATGATAATATTAATGATTAATTATATCATCTACAATAAAAATGATTGATCAACCTCTCATAATTACAAAAAAATAAAGAAAATAAAAAAGTATGCTAGGTTGAATGAATTTTATACGGTTTGTACAAATTCGTGGTTTGTAAAGTAGACTTCCTCTATGGGTATATGTATGTATATATTTCTTTTAAAACATAAAAAAAAGTCATAAAAACTGTATATATCTTTTACTTTTAACATATTATACAGGATTCGAATTCAATCATTTCAAAAGATTTATCTTTGTTCTTTTATGTCAATGATATTAATTAATTTCTTATATATTGGTTTTTATTTTAAATCCATGATTTTATTTATTTAATTAATGGGATAAATTGGCAGATGGGATTTAGGCAAGGAGAAGTCATCCCCGCCACTTCGGCTGCTTACACCCAATTCCCATCATGTAAACCAAATTTTATGCATATAATTTTATATCCAAATCTGGAGAGTGTTTTAATTTATGTACAGGTTATATTAGATAACGGACTTCTGAAGCTTAAACTATCAACTCCAGCAGGAATGATCGTCGCCATACATTATAATGGCACTCCAAATTTATTGGAATCTGGACTCAAAGAATCACAAAGAGGGTTTGGTTTTATATATATATATATATATATATATATATATATATATATATATGACCCTTTTAGCTCTCCACTCCTTTTCTTTTTTGTTTATACTTTTTTGAAATTAATGGATCAATTCTTGTAACTTTTAATAGGTACTGGGATCTTGTTTGGAGCAGGTGGCATGATCGTCATAGCGTTTTTGACGTGTAAGCTAGATGACAGTAGTAGTACTAGAGATAAAAGCTGACCATTTCTCATTTGATCCCCCTATCTCTAACGAACAACATAATAGACGGTTTTAATGAATTTTTCAGGATTCATGGAACAAGTTTTGACCTGATATCAAAAGATGAAAACCATATCGAGGTTTCATTTCTAAAAACATGGAAATATGACAACAAGGATGATCCTCCTATAAAAGTCGACAAAAGGTTCAACTTTCCATATCTAAACTAAGGAGATGTTAGCAAGATCTATCTATATATATATATATGGTAATAATAACGTGTGTGAAAATTAATCAAGGTATGTAATGCTAAGAGGATGTTCGGGTTTTTATTCGTATGCAATATACCAACACTTGGAAGAGTGGCCGGATATCGATATTGAGCAAACAAGGCTGGCATTCAAGCTTGACAAGACTTTGTAAGACTTGTTATTTCCATTTCCATAGAATTAATAATTGGGAGTTAATTAATTTCCTAACTAAAATGGATTGCCAAGTGATTAGGTTTAATTACATGGCTATATCAGACGATAGACAAAGGATGATGCCAACAGGGAAGGAGCGTGCAAAAGGTCGGAAACTGGACTACCCTGAAGCAGTTCGATTGCCAAATAACTTGTCTAATCCACTTCTTAGAGGAGAGGTACATAGCTAACCACCATTCCTTTATTAACTCACTCACCAAACCCTAAGAGCCTGTTTGGTTCGCGGAATTTGAAGAAATTTGATGGAATTGCAATGACAAATTCTAATTCCTTTGTTTGGTTCATTTCTTGAAATGGATGGAATCCTTCAAATTCCATTGACTTCCACAAATTAATGAATTCATCATTCTTTGGCATATATAATGGAAGGAATTGAATTCAATCACCACCCACCACGACCATGCTACTAATGTTCGTCATGCCCCATCCCTAACCCCCCAAAGAACCAAGTAACTTGCGTGCCTGACTGCATCATATCAGGTCCATCTCTTTTTGGACCCTGAGATGGTTCTTCAGATTTTTAATATCACTAGGACTGTCAAATTTGGATGATGATTCCTAAGCTATAGCGAAATCAGTTTTATATGACACTGAAAATGTCTTGTTTGATAGGACCTAAGTTTATAAAACCAAACAATTCCACATCATGTGTGTGTGGATGTGTTACAATAAGCTAGTAAGACGCTTTTTGGCATCGGAACAAGTTTTTTGAACAATTTTGAAATAAATTTTGCTATTAGCTTTTTATATGATGGTATTATTTGAAAAAAAAATGTCTTACAAGCGATCAATAAAAAATGTGTCCATTGGGACGCCCAAATAAGTCGTCCTAACATCCATCTTATTGTAACAACTTTATATAAGATGCACAATTATTTGGTAATATAAACTTAAATCCTATAAAACAATTCATTATCACATTTTTGGCATCCTATAGCCGATTCTTTTGTAGTGCTGAAATCGATATCTGGTTCTGAAAGTTTGATGGTCGCTCGCAGGTTGACGACAAGTACCAGTATTCAGCTAGCGTCAAGGACAGCCACATACATGGGTGGATTAGTGGCAAACTACGTATAGGATTTTGGTTGATCACGCCGAGTAGCGAGTTTCGTGCTGGCGGGCCGCTCAAGCAAGAGCTTACATCACATGTCGGCCCAACCACACTTTCTGTGAGTCTTCTCATCTTGCATCTTTTAACTATTAGCCAGGGAATTATCTCTAGACACCAGCTTAAAGGCTTATTTGTGTCTCTCACAAAAAGAATGACTTTCAGACCAAAACGTTTGCCATAACCATAACCTACATGTTTAGACGTTTTTCAGTTGTCATTACACGGGTTCGACTTTGGCTATAAAACTAAAATATGGAGAGTACTGGAAGAAAGTTTATGGTCCAGTTTTTGTCTACTTAAACTCAGGTTCAGTCGGTGATGACTATCGATCACTGTGGGATGAAGCAAAGAAGCAGGTACTATATATATGCATATGTGTGTGTATATATATATCTACATCTATATATATATACATACAAGATCACATCAAGGTTTCTAGATTTTCTAGTTCATATTTCTCATGCATTTTGGTTAATGGAATATGATCCAATTCCGTAGATAGTAATACATATATATAATGAATATAAGTTTGCTTTAGAATGTATTGCTTATTACATGTTAGGCATCTATAGAAAGGAGAACCTGGCCATACGATTTCCCCCGATCACAAGACTATCCTCATGCTTATCAAAGGGGTACCGTCATTGGTAGAATGCTAGTTCAAGACAGGTAACTAATCTTGGCGATGACAAACCATTTCCCTATGAATTAATAACATCTGATGTGGTTTTTCTAGACAAAAGTAACTAATAACTATAAACTAACACTTTCGTTTTTCGACTAATTTGTCGGTTATCACTTTTGTGTCATAATGCTTCAATATGTAACAGGTATGTGAGCAAAGAAGCTCTCATAGTAGGAAATGATGCTTATGTTGGCCTAGCTCCAGAAGGAGAAGCAGGATCATGGCAAAAAAACTCAAAGGTTAGCAATGTACATGCTGGTTTTGATTATTCGTCTCACTTATTGGGATTGATGTGTAGTATGACAACTTTTTTCTCAGGGATATCAGTTTTGGAACCAAAGCGATGACGATGGATATTTTGTAATTCGGGGAATCCGATCGGGGAGCTACAATTTGTACTACTGGATTCCTGGATTTATTGGCGATTCGAAATATAGTTATACAATTCACATATCAGAAGGTTCCTATCTGAACTAATAGTCTATCTGCCTGCTTTAGAACTTCATGATTACATGAACTTGAGACACCGTTTGACTTCTGGAATCAGATATACTAATACTAACCTCAAAATATGAAGAACATATTAAGTTCCCTTGAAAAAGAAAGGCATTAACCATATGGGTATCGATAGAAGAGGCATATATAGGAAAACAGAAGTTAAATTTGCAAGATTCCTAAGTGCTTTGAAGAAAACATCCTAAGGTGATGTCGTATATAAAGCACCAATAAACAGTGTCATATATGAAGCACCTAAAAAAAGTCAAAGTTTATCAGTTTGACAAGTTAAATTATTCATTAAGCAGGAGACTTCATTAAGCTAGGTGATGTCGTATATGAGGCACCAAGAAACGGTCCAACCCTCTGGGAAATAGGCATTCCTGATCGCACTGCTGCTGAGTTTTACGTGCCAGATCCTTATCCAAATCTAGTGAATCATTTATTCATGAATCACACTAATGATAGGTAAGCTCAATTAGATCAAGATTCATGTAGTTTGAACAATTTCTAGAATATCTAACTTGCACAAGCATTCTTGAACTTGGCTAGGTTTAGGCAATATGGATTGTGGGATCGTTATACAGATTTATACCCTGAAAATGATCTTGTCTACAACGTTGGTGCTAGTGATTACAGGAAAGACTGGTTCTTTGCTCATGTTAACAGGTAATTCTTCCATACCTAGAGACCTCCTTTCGCCAACCTGTTTTACATTTTATTTGGATCTAATGACATCTCTAGCTATGTCCCTTGGTGCATTTCAACCTTCCTTGTTAATGTAGAAAACTAGAAGACGGTAGCTACGGCGCAACTACATGGAGAATTGTATTCAATCTAACAAACGTTTCCAATGGATCCTATACTCTTTGGCTGGCGCTGGCAACCGCCAATGGAGCCAGCATCAAGGTACATGTTTACATCTTTATGTTGTTTATTCTTACACAAGTATTGTATATTGTATTGACGTTGAAATTCCTTCCAAGGTTAACTTTAACGAACAGCCGAACCCGAGATGGTTGAGCTTCCGAACAGGATTAATTGGGAGGGACAACGCGATTGCAAGACACGGAATTCATGGTTTCTACAGATTGTATAGCTTCAATGTACCAAGTTTCTTGCTTGGTAAGGGGGCCAACGTCATATCCTTACACCAAGAGAATGGCAGGGGCAAGTTTTATGGAGTAATGTATGATTACATCCGTTTCGAAGGCCCTCCTGAAATAGACCTAATTTTCAATTTAAAAAACTAGTTGGGATTTTGGTAAAGCATGAGCTAATCATTTCACGCCTTGTGACATCATAAAGGTTCTTTTGCAATTTCCACCATAACCAAACAGCATGTACCAAAGTCCAACTTTTCCTTGAGGGGAGAGTTGAAAAGGGGTAGGTATGTATGAATGTCTATCATAAACTTGACCTTTAAGAAGGAAATTTTTCTACGTAAAAGTCTCTTTCTTTCTTTTTTTTTTTTTTTTTTTTTTTTTCTCTCTCTCTATACACACACACGTATATGTATCTAGGGGAGCTTTACTTTGTAAACCATATTTTTTTATACAAACCAATTGTATCCATCTATTTTCATGATCAAATGTTATGATTAAAACAAGTTATTTTAGTAAAGGAAAAAAAAATAAAAGAAAATAAATTAATTATTGTTTTCAACAAGAAAGGGTAAAATGAAAACAAATTGTAAACTGCTGCGATCATTGAAATTCCTTTCCTGCATTCAATCCGGTGAACATGTTTCATTAAAATTTTCTAATATATCTCACTGCATTACGCGAGTATCATTATAATATATATATATATATATATATATATATATATATAACAATATTAAAGTATAATATATAATTAATTGAGTCTGACATTAAATGGAAATTAAAATAACTTTAGTTTTTAAAGCATTCAATATTCTTATTAGGAGTTACTATTAGTACTCCCCTCTCTAATGGTTTTTTTTAAAGAATTTCTAATTGCCAACTAGAATTTTTAATTAAAAAATTGTGTTGGTTTTGAATATGATTTTTTCTCATAAAAACATTTTATAAATTAAATTAAATATTTTAAAAATTAGTTAGTTTTACTTTATTATAATTATTTAGTTGTAGTTTCATTGTTATTTGATTAAAAAACAGTTTTATATTATAAGGTGTCACTTAATGTGTTAGAAATCCTTGTAGTGGAGGGTAATTTCTAGATATTTTCTAAATCTGACTTGACATTTTAAGTTTTTTGTTAGAAATTGTATTATAATGGATGGTCAACAAATTCTCTAAAACGAAGATTTTGAGGATTTTTGTTTCAATAGATTCCTAAAACCTTCTCCAAAATGGATAAAGTATTAAAATGTCCAAATTCAAAGATTTCTTTGAAAATAATTACTAGTAAGAGATAAATGATTTTTTTTTATTATTTTACCAATGAGATTACATGAAATTAAATGTTTAGGAATAAAAAATAATATTTTATAAGTTATATTAAATATTTTAATAATATAATTAATTATGTAATTTTTAAAATACAAAATTTGTTAGAGACGAAGAAAATGAAAATTAACTTTTAAAATCTGTAACTTTTTCATTTTTCTATTTTAAAGAATATATCAGAAATGCTGGCACTCTTATTCTCCATTCTCTTTTTTTAGTTTTGGTCCCCTGCTTTTAAGTTGACATTCTTTTTAAAAACAAATAATTCAAAGTTTAGAAAACAAAAAACGTTTAAAACGTTATGGTAATTAATAAAAGTCTTATTTTAAGAAAACAAAAATTAAAACTATTTGATGGACTAATCAAATGTCATACCAAACACTAAATATTATAAAAGAACCGACTTGTTTTTGAAAAAAAAATTGTGTTACATGAATTATGTATGTGTGTGTGTGTGAGAGAGAAAGCGAAATTGTTATGCAAGCAATAAATGGTAACCTAAAATACGCATAAAATTCAAGTAGGAACATGAAATGCATTAAAACTGCAACATCTATCTTTGTCGACTGGGTTGGCTAGCCTCTGCCTCATGGCCTATTTATAGCCCCCCATAAACATTCACTTCATACATCTGCACCTATTTCATCTATCTCTTACACCATTACAAGCTTCAATAATGGCGGAATCACCAGAATCTGAGCATCCGATCAAGGCCCATGGATATGCTGCTCGCGATACTTCTGGAATACTTTCCCCTCTCACCTTCTCCAGAAGGTATTTTCAATAGATTTCCCTCTGATTGCACGCAAGGCTCAGGGTGAATTGTTCGGTGCAGAATGATTAAGTGATTAGTAATTGTTTGATAATTGTTTATAATGAAATTAGGGCGCTGAATGGTTAAGAGGGTCCAGTATACAAAATTATTCACAAGATTTTAGAACCATTACTTCCAAACAAAATTCAACTCTTAACCATTCAGATGCCGGATCTTGGTGGAACTATTTATGATCTAATTTGGATTGTTTTTTTGTGGTTGATACAGGGCTACTGGGGAGAAAGATGTGAGATTCAAAGTACTGTACTGTGGAATCTGTCATTCAGATCTTCATTTTGTCAAGAACGAATGGGGTTTTACCACTTACCCTGTTATCCCAGGGTACAAATTCACACACCCATTTCTTAATCTCTTTCTCAAATCACCATTAAGTATGTATCCCAATTGCTTACTGTAGGCATGAGATTGTGGGTGAGGTGACAGAAGTAGGCACCAAAGTGGATAAATTCAAAATTGGGGACAAAGTGGGAGTTGGATGCTTGGTGGGATCATGCAGATCATGTCAAAGCTGTGCTGATGATTATGAACAATACTGCCCTAAGCAGGTTCTCACTTATGGTGTTCCCAATTTCGATGGCACAAAGACATACGGTGGCTACTCAGATCACATGGTTGCAGATGAGCATTTCGTCCTCCGGTGGCCGGAGAATCTGCCACTTGATTCTGGTGCACCTTTGCTATGTGCTGGGATCACAACTTACAGTCCTTTGAGATACTTTGGATTAGACAAGCCTGGTATGAAGGTGGGTGTTGTTGGTCTTGGTGGGCTTGGTCATATTGCTGTCAAGATGGCCAAGGCTTTTGGTGCAGAAGTTACTGTTTTCAGCACCTCTCCTGCTAAGAAACAAGAATCCATTGAAGGGCTGAAAGCTGACCATTTCATAAACAGTAAAGACTCAGAACAGATGCAGGTCAGTTTTTTTTCTCTTTATCATGTTGGTTTTGCTATGTGGGTTTTGTTTTGAATGTTGAATTGATGATTCGAATAGGCTGCTACGGGCACGCTTGATGGCATCATCGATACGGTATCTGGAACTCATCCTATTGCGCCATTGCTTAATGCACTTAAGCCTCATGGAAAGCTTGTTCTCGTGGGTGCACCAGAGAAGCCAATTGAATTAGCAACATTTTCTTTGATTATGGGTAAGCATTTTGGATTGTGTTGAATGTTGGGTTTGAATTAAAAGATGATTGAAATGATGGAATGAATGAATATTATATAATTAATCACATTCACAGGGAGGAAGATTGTTGGTGGTAGTAACATTGGAGGGTTGAAAGAGACTCAAGAGATGCTTGATTTTGCAGCAAAGCATGGGATAACCGCAAATATCGAGGTTATACCAATAGACTACGTTAACACGGCCATGGATCGATTGTTAAAATCCGACGTAAGATACCGATTCGTGATCGATGTCGCCAATTCAATCAATGTTGCATAGTCTGCTTTCTTTTAAGTTCTTGATGAATGTTTTTCTCTTCTTTGCGTGTCCGATGATGTTGTAATAAGATTGTATGATATTGCTTATTACTTAAAAAGACGTAAAAACCATGTAATAGTTGAATTTTTGGTGTACACTACGTTTTTAAGTCCATGTCCTTTATTAAAAGTTGTGACTTCCGTTTTTATGCTTTTACATTTATGTTCTAATTTATATGTCTATTGTTCAGACCGATACATATTATAAGAGAAAATATGAACTTAAATAAATTATATAAAAATATAATATATCTTAATTTTATTGATAGCGAAATAAGACCTAAAATAGTTTGAGAAAATATCTTTATTACACAACAATCGTTATCATCCCCCTGAAAATAAGGACTTGCTAATGAAACCAAGACAGAGTGTTGGGCCACACCTTTTATTTTTTGTGGGAAGTCTTTATTAAACGAGACAAACTTTAATTAAATCATGTCACCTCATCTTTTCAAATATCTATCTTTTAATACTGTTCATTTAAGACGAACAGTTTGTACACAAAAAATTTACGTCTTATTTTCTACACAAAAAATAAAATAAAAGGTATGCTACTGGACGTTGGTGTATGTTTATTTATGTTCGTTTAACGTCTTAACGAACGAACATAAATACTCTCATTTTCTAATGACACCCTTAATCCTATGTAGTCATTCCTTTTTTTTTGGTCTTTTTGTTATTTTTACCTTTTATTGTTTTTTATTTAAATATATATATTAGAGATGGCCAAAAACCGGTTCCGGGCCTGGCCAGGCCGGTTCCAATCGGACCTAATCTTTCTCATAACCGGTCCTGGTCGAAAATGATAGGATCGGTCAAGGTATTTCATAACCAGTTATGGGCCGCCGGTCCCAACCGCTCCTTACATTAAAAAATAAGATTTATTTTTTATTTTTTTAATGATATATATTTTTAATACATTTTAAAATTTACAATTATATCACTCAAAAACACTTTAAAAATGCGTTTTAATATAATTAAAATTACGTTTTCTTATAAAAATACATTATAAGATAATTTAAAAATACATTTATTTATGAAATTATTTGAATTTTTGGGCCGGACCGGTCCATAGTCTGTCCCATAACCGGTCTCGTTCGGTCCCGGTCCCGATCCCACGAAACTACCAAAAACATCAACCAGTCCCAGTTTTTGGTCCCATGACCGGTCCCGGAGCCGATTTGGCCATATATATATATATATATATATTGATTTTAATTAATTTAAATTTTTAATTAATTCTTTTTTTTTAATTTTTTCTCTCTTATTTATTTATATTATATTTTAATATGGATTATTAATAAATATATATTTC